AACATAATAAAATTAAATCAGAGTAATCTTCCCAAAGCAGCTCTGATCACTCACTCCCTTGAGTGAAACTCTTTATTGCTTCTCTGCCTTCTGAAACCCTCAACAATCAAGGCTAAGTTCACATTACACCTTTCTTATTTGTTCATCAAACAAATATTGAACAGATATCTACTATGGGCAAGATTTTAAACAAAAGAGGCTAAGGATACAAAGATGAATAATATACATTTCCCTTCTTTGATGTTCTCCCAGTGAGTAAGAGAAGCAGAAACTTAAATACATCCTATTGAATGTGATAAGTACCTTTTAAAAGGTATGTACAAACTACTATAGGAATGCCTAGCGAATGACTAATTCAGCCTGGGGGAATCTGCCAAGAAAAAACTTGTTTTTCCTTGTTTTCTAGGTCTACTAGTGGGTTGGGGTTTTTCTTATTAAGCATTATATACTTTTCTCATCACAAGCCCTAAAGTTAAAGTGGAGTTTTCATTATGAAGTCTTTTTTTTTTAAACTACAAAAGATGTCCTCTTAGTCCATTCTTAGATGTCCAAAATAAACTGCTGGTTAATTCAAATGTTAATTAATGTTAAATTAAATGTGAAAATTTTAGACTAAACTAATAGAGGATTTCTTTAAGCTATCAATGTATGGGAAAAGTAGGACTATTAAAGTCTGTGATGCTAAGTTTCTGGAGGATATTTACAAGTATGAATAGAAGAAATGTCATAGAAATATGTAGCACATGAATGGAAGTAATATGGCCGTGGATGAAACATCCCTGAAAGTTGTAACTGAGCCATAAGAAGCTTCCCAGAAATCACATACATAGAATTTCACAGGATCAACTCCCCTTTCTGACCCAAAATGTTTGAGGCTATGATCTTGTTCCAGACTACCAAAAACTAATCCAGTAGAATCTTCTAACTGTATTAAGAAATAGGCCCAGAAAGTTGAAGTGATTTTTCTAAGGCTATATAGATGTTGGTTGAACTAGGATTAGAGAAGCTAGATGTCTTGGCTCCCACTTCTTTTCCACTAAAAACTATAGATATTTACCTAGGGGCAAGCTCTGATGTCCGCCAAGCAGCACTGAAGCAACTTCATGTGGATATGTTCATTTTTTGTTAATCAGTACAACAAATACTTATTGAATGCCTACTCTACAGTAGACTTTAGAGATGCACGGATGAATTAGACTTTAGCTAACAAGATAGACAAGCACATATACTATGGGTAATTCAGTCTACATGGGAAGTCTAGGGGACATTTTCATGTCAGAGGTGACATCTGAGTTAAAATGATAAGTGTGCAGAACTTTGACGAGGGAATGGGGGAAGACATTCCAAACATATTGTGACAGTGTGGAAATGTTCATGGAATAATGCTGAAACTAGCATGACTGGAGAGCAGGCAGTATGGCCAGGAATGAAGATAGGGGGGAAGTCTTGTTTCTACAAGACCTTTTCCTGAGAAATTAAGGATGTTTATTAACTTTGCAAAAGGTTCTATCATAGTATTGTTTGAAGCAAGAGTCAGTAGCTTAGTTACTTGAAAAAGTCTTCAAGACTCACGACTTTCCAAACTACTTGCTATATGCCATCCTCTGCCATATTTCTCTCTGAAATACTTCTGAATTCACAGTGTCAGGAAACACTCAGAATAAAACAAATTTCCCAGCTTTATTTGGGGGTTTTATGGTGAATTCATTCTCTCAGTTTAAGATATATTCTGTTGCCCTTTCTTGTGCTCAGACACTTGAATAAAATTTTAAGATTTCTAAGAAATGAAAAGTAGCTTCTAATGAGAAAATAAAAGGAACTCTGATTTAATTGAGTATATAGCAACATAATTCGAATCAGAAAAATATAATTGCTGTTACAGTTTTCCAGGAGCCCCTAAAGCAAGAAACCTGAAACAGGCCCCTTCGGATGGGGACTCACGTTAAAGTAAAGAATGAGCTCTGCCAGGAAAGAGGCAAGATAGTGAATATAGTTCCCTGTGCTATACAGAAGAAACTTGTTGTTGATCTGTTTTATATATACTAGTTAATATTTGCAAATCTCGAACTCTCAATTTATCCCTTCCCACCTCCTTTCCCCACCAGTAACCATGAGTTTGTTTGCTATGTCTGTTAGTCTGTTTCTGTTTTGTAGATAAGTTCATTAGTGTCTTCTTTTTTCTTTTTTTAGATTCCACATATGAGTGATATCATATAGTATTTTTTCTTTCTCTTTCTGCCCTTCTTCACTTAGAATGACGACATCCAGGTCCATCTATGTTGGTGCAAATGGCAATATTTTATTATTTTTATGGCTGAGTAGTATTCCATTGTATAAATATACTGCAACTTCTTTATCCAGTCACCTGTTGATGGACATTTAGGTTGTTTCCATGTCTTGGCTATTGTATAAAATGTTGCTATGAACATTAGGATGCATGTATCTTTTTGAATTGGAGTTCCCTCCAGATATATGCCCAGGAGTGGGATTGCTGGATCATATGGTAAGTCTATTTTTAGTTTTTTGAAGAATTTCCATACTGTTTTCCATAATGGCTGTACCAAACTACATTCCCACCAACAATGTAGGAGGGTTCTCTTTTCTCCACACCCTCTCCAGCATTTATCGTTTGTGGACTTTTGAATAATAGCCATTCTGACTGGTGTGAGGTGATACCTCACTGTAGTTTTGATTTGTATTTCTCTGATAATTAGTGATATTGAGCATTTTTTCATGTCCCTATTGGCCATTTGTGTGTCTTCACTGCAGAATTGTTTGTTTAGGTCTTCTGCCCATTTTTGGATTGGATTGTTTGTTTATTTGTTTTTTTTTGTTATTAAATTCTATCAGCTGTTTTTTTATATTCCAGAAATTAAGCCTTTGTCAGTCACATCATTTGCAAATATTTTCTCCCATTCCACAGGTTGTCATTTTGTTTTGCTTATGGTTTCCTCTGCTGTGCAAAAGCTTATAAGTTTAATTAGGTCCCATTTGTTAATTTTTGCTTTTATTTCTATTACCTGGGTAGACTGCCCTAGGAGAACATTGCTAAGATTTATGTCAGAAAATGTTTTGCCTATGTTTTCTTCTGGGAGGTTTATAGTGTCTTGTTCCACCCTTCCGTTTACTCCAGGATTTGGTTGTCACCTCTCTCCTCCCTAACATTTCAGGATTCCTGGGAAAATCAAATTAGTTCTTTTTGCCAAAATGTGGTGACAGTTGTTAAACACATAAGTAATTGTATTAACAACACCAACTGGGGCCCCTTGGAGTAAGTGCTCAGGAAAGAGAGAGAGATTGAAAAGAATATGACACCTCTCAGTAAAAAGCAAACAAATTTTAAAAAGAATTAGAGTCAGAGATACCAGTATGAACTCATGTTTAGCTTAATAGAGATAACAGACACAGAAATAATTACAAATCTGTGTGTATGCACATGTTAGCATACAGACATATTTCCTAGCTCTGACCACTGAGGGCCTAGAAGAAATGACACCTCAGAAGCTATGAGCACACCCAGCACCCATATCTTGGTTTCTCTATCATTTCATCATAGGAAGAGGAACCAGAGCTCTTTGGAGAAATGGCTGATCTAGGACTGGGGTAGGGAATATACAAGATGAGGCTGGCACTTCTCATAGTACGAGAAAGTAATTAAGTTGCTAAAATAAAAACAAAACAAAACACAATGATGAGGCCAAAGGGACAGAGGAGCCAACTAAATGATCTCCCAATGGCCAAAGCAGAAACAATTTGAACAAAATAAATAATGCAGTATTGGATATAGCCCAAAGCATCAAATAAATATCCATAGATCTATAGTGATACAAATTAATGATTGAGTAAACACAGAAATGAGGGAAAAGAGAAAAATCCCCTGTGCAGAAGAATTGTAGATAGCTTACAAAGCTACTCCTCCATTAAGGAGGTGGAGCTAAATTCACCATCACAATCTCCATCACCACATCTGAGTGTAGGCTACATGTGGGGACTAGCTTCCAAAGAGTATAGCATGGAAAGGGGAGAAAAAAGTAACTTTACAGTGGAGAAGCCTGTCAAATACTAAGTTGGTCTGGTGATTAAGGCTGACATCATCAATGACAATCATGTTGACAGTATGTACCCTGGATACGCTGTGTTGAGAATGGCACTTCACCTCTGGGATCTTCCTTCCCAAAACCCATAACCCCCTCTAACTATTAGAAAAACATCAGACAAATCCAAATTGAGGAACTTTCTTCAAAATACCAGTACTTTTAAAAACTATCAAGGTTATCAAAAAAAAAAAGGAAAGTCTGAGAAACCATCACAGGTCACACAGACCAGAGGAGACTAAGGACCAAAGTAATGGGTATCTTGGATAATAGATAGATAGATAGATAGATAGATAGATAGATAGATAGACAGACAGACATAGATAGTTAACCTTGTACCCAACAGAAAATATACATATTATTTAAACATCCACAGAACATTAAAAATAATTGACTGGGACTCTGAAAAAAAAATCTCAACAAAATCCCAAAAGCAATTTATACAGGCCTTTTTTGCTTTCTTACTAAATTGCAACACAGATTAATAGGAGATCGATTGAATAAACTATTGAATTTTTTTAAAGGCCTAATAATCATATTTTTAAACAGGCCTTTCTATGGGTGATTCTGACTGCTCAGATCTTTTTGTACTCTTGGAATTTTCTGGATATTTTTGTCTTAATTTGTGAAAGAGGATTTTTACATTCTTGCATGGGAAGAGCAATATAAAATTTCCTGTTTTATTTTATTTCCCTTTCTAACTATTGTGCAGTTCACCTTCTTACTGGACATTCTTCTACATCATTTGACTTTTTTTAAGTTTTTAGTTTATTAATCCTCTCATGAAAATTTTGCATAGTCACCACAGATACAGTCACTGCAGAATCTTTGTTCCTTCTGTTGTCCAATCTCCAGCTCACTCCTTTTTGCCAGCACCAACACTGGCCTTTGCAGTCCCCCTGACAGTCTTCATCCTGTTCTTCCATTCCTTTCGCTGTTTCCTTGAGGTCTTTTTCTTCTCGTACAGGCCATGTCTTGCAAGCCTGTGTTTGGGTTCATTTTTCTTTGCATAATCCAAGGAATCGTAAATCATGCCAAAGCCAGTTGTCTTGCTACCACCAAAATGAGTTCTGAATCTGAATACAAAGATGACATCTGGCGTGGTCTTTGTGCCTTTTGGCTAGTTTTTCCCGAGTTTCTGTCTTAGGTACTGTTGCCTTCCCAGGGTGAAGGACATCAGTGACCATTTGTTTCTGCTGTCGGTTGGTTGGTCATGAACTTCCTGGTCCGGATAGTTACGGTGTCATTCATGATGGCGGCTGATCTTCAAGCAACCAGGGAGGAAAAGAGGCACTTGACAATTTTAGAGCTGAATTTGTAACACCTTTCTGCTCCAAAGATTATACTATTTGCATTTTGTTTATTGAACATTCAGGAATCAAAAGTGGAATCCAAGTTTTATAATTTTATAGAAAAGGAACATTAGTATGAATTTAGCTTTGGTATAGTTCACTGGAAGCTGATTTCTATGATTTTCTTAGAATAAAAGAACTGGGATAACTTGAACAATAACCTAAATCAGTGTTTCTTGATTTTTTTCTCCATATCTAAATTGATTTATTTTTTAAATTCCTATACCCTTACCCCTGAAACCCATGTCTCTCTGTCTCTAGGGAGATGTGCCTTCAGAACTCTGATATATTGAAGACTGTCGATCTCTTCTTAAATCCACTGATAAAGAACTTTATTTTCAGTGATTATAGTGTAAAAATGACAGATAACTTTGTTTTTGCTTTCCAAAAAGAAAATTAGAATGTTGAACACGATTTTCCACATTACTCATGATCTACCTTCAACTTCCAGTGATTCTGTTATGAACAAAAATCATTGGTCTAAATCAATCCTTAATTTTATATTAAAGAAAATGAAGACCAGAGAACTTAAATAACCTTCTCAAACTCATGATGTAAAATAATGACCAAGTCAAGTCTTGATTGATAGTACAATGCTTTTCCCTAAGTTTGTTGCAAAGTGGAACTTGAGGGGGAAAAAAAAATTTTAGAAATAAAGCCAGAAGCATTTCTCTCCTTTGAAGAAAACTCTTCAAAGAGTGTTCTCTGAAGAAAGCCCAACCAGATTAAAATCCCTTGGCTTCTGTATGTTAACGTGTTCCTTTTTATCTTGATGTAAAGTAGAAGCCCTACTCCTCCAATCATTCTCTTTACTTACAGTGACTCTGTGACAGGAAATGGTTACAGAACTCTGAAATCTATTGTCAATGCTTTTATAATCTCAAGGAATTTCTTCCAGGCACGTAGCATATGAACGAGAACTACCCCAGTGGCAACATACAAGCTCTGTGTTGTTCTATCAAAAACAGCTGTTAAATCATTCTGTGCTCTTCAGGGCACCTCTCTTATTCAGCTCAACTGTGAAGGGTGGCAGCTTTCTTGAACTAGTCATTGTCAGAATCCTCCACGCCAAAAATCAAGTTCGAGTGCTAAGAATCGCAGGGAATGGGAACTGACAAAGACTTTCTATGGATTCACAGCAAGTTTCCAATCACTACAGGGTCCAGGGGAAAATCTTCCTACAGATTAAGGTTAAGAGGCAGGAAGCCATGAGTATGAAGGAAAAAAAGTAGTTCAACCAGGAAGAACAGCAGCATTTCCCCAGGAACTAGTTCCACTGAAGGGTATGCAACCAGAATCAAAATCCTAGGTAGAGTAAGGTGGGTGAGGACCTTTTTTTGAATGAAGCACACGAACCATCCTAAAGAACACTGAATTTATAAGCTAAGAGACTTCCACAAACGTTAAGCCCTACAGATTCTCTCAACATACACTTAAACCTCTTATGTGGTCTCAGCAAATCAAACTTTGGAACTTAGTTTCCTCAGGGGTATAAATAGAGGCTTAAACTAGATAAGTTTCCTCTAGCTATCACATTTGTTTTCATATAATAATTTATAAACTGTAATTGCTAAGTATATCCTTCAAACAAAAAAATCGTATCATGGAAATAAGAACAATATTTGTAAAAACAACAACTAGCTAAAAATAAAGGCCTGTATCTCTTAATTTGTTCTGATTAACAGCAGCAGTCAGCCATTGTAAAATAAAGGTGAACTTATCAACTTGAAATGGAAATCCAGATTATAGCAGTATCGTGGAAGTGGTATATAGCTAGTTATGTTGACAAGACTTATGAAGAACAGCGACAAAGTAATGGTCTTTTTTCCTCAGAAAATGAAGGAAACTTTTAGTTTGAAAACAGTTCACACAAAGATAAAAGGTAATAATAGCAAGGCGGTTTTTTTTTTTTTTTCCTGGGCAGGGCATGTGTGAGATACACAAGGATTTTTTTCATCTCTATTTCATTACCATTAAATAAAGTAATCATTATTCTTATTTTTTAATATTTGATTTATTGATTATTGTATTATTTAATTATTTTATTTTGGCAGGGAGGAGGGGAGGTAATTAGGTTTATTTCTTTTTAGAGGAGGTATTGGGGATTGAACCCAGGCCTTCGTGCATGGTAAGCAAGCACTCTACCACTGAGCTATACCTTCCGCCTATCCTACTCTTATTTTTAATGCTGTTGAATTTTGAGGTGAGTATAGCCCAGAATCCATTATTAGTGCCATTTCAGCTCATTGTTTCTCATTATCAGACTCGGGAAGGTAGCAGAGTGTCACGGTGGGGGTGGGGTTCAAAAAGTATTTTTTCAGCAAGTAGAACCATTATCTTCAGACAAATGATAGAACAGATAAAAGCAGAACAGTTCTGATTAAAGATGAATGGAGAAGCAGAGCCCCCACCATTTCCCTGAGGTAGCTTTTTGAAACTCTGGGGCTTCCAAGATGACAGGCTGGATACCTTTATTGTACGGGAAAAGCACATGGGGTTTTGGGTCCCCTGTAACTGGGTTCAAATCTCAGCTCCCCCACTGACAAGCTATGGGATGGTGAAAGAGTTACTTAATCTTGCTGAATTTCAGTTACATGGGTGTGAGGTTAACAACAGTAACTAACATCACTGCTTATGATTGTTGTATGGGTCGAATGCTCAATAAACATCAATTCACTTCCGCTTTTGTTTAAAATTAAACATAAAACAACATGCCCCATAGTTTTAAACAATGGGCATAGTAGCTGTCTCTGGATGTAGACCTTCCAAAATTCAGTTTTAGATATTTCCAGTTTGTCTCAGGTGGTTTTTCCTCCCTCAAGTTATTAGTGTCAAGTTTCTTCTTGTCCCAGGAGGTCTAACTATGCCTTACTATGACCCTTATTATATCTAGTTAAATTCAGGTAAACACACACACACACACACACACACACACACACACAATCAGTGGTTTATTATGAAAACCCCATAATACATAGTTAATGTTCCGTGGTTCTCACATTTTTCTTTTCTAGACAAAGGAAACAGAAATGGGCAAAGTTTTGATTTTAAATTTCAAGTAGAACTGTTAAAAGTGTTTTCCTCACTAACTTTTATTGGGAAGATTATTACTATTTTTACTTTGGAGGCCATTCCTTTTTAAAAATCTAATTTGGTCTATATAGCTCAGAACTCATCAGCAAATAGAACTTTATAGTTCCCTCAAAGCATGACTTGAACGTATTTTTTTTTGATATAGCTTTTGTTGGCTCCTTTTCATAGACTCAGCGCTCAGTCTTAAGGTGATGGGAGTGGAGGATAGACGCACGTGTACAAGCGAAAAGGAAAATCGATACCTACGTGACTTTTCAGCAAATGCATTCGATACTGATGATTATTCATTCCAGTGCATCAGAAGCAGTATTTACTGATCTTTTTGACCTAGAAGTGACCTGTGCAATATTTTATGTCTCTACGACTCTCTAGTTTCACGACGTGATGGTCAAGAGTAAGGGCTCTGGAAACAGACTGGGTTAGAGTACCAGCTCCATTACTTACCTTGTGCAAGTTACTTAACAAGGCTTGCTTTGTTTCCTCTTCTATGAAATGGGAATAATAATAGTTATCTACATTAGAGGGTTGGTGGGAGGACTGAATGAGTCGGAATTGTTACAGACTTGAAATACTACCTGGCACATAGCAAGTGTGTAATTATCATTACCAATATTTATATTTATGCACTGGTGTCCACCCTTATTCATTAGAACTCATTGTATGAGCTCCTGTTCTACGCCAGGCACAGTGATAGACACCTCAGTTCTTAAGACAAATCACCCAGATCCCTGCCCCCAAGAGCTTACAGCCAAGAAGAAAGAAAATGACTTGGTGTTATGATACACAGGTTGTTAACCTGAATCAAATTCAGGGACTCTATGAATTTAGATGAGGGGGAAAAACTTACATCTTTTTGTACATTAACCTCTAACTGAAATTTAGCATCTCCTTCAACTAAGATAGGTGACTAATCACAGTAGTGTTTGCAGTGCTTGCAGCTTTGTTTCCAAGAGAAATTACAGATATTTCCATATCACATTCCACACCTTGCAGGTATCTCAAAATATATATTATTTACCCTTATCACTGCTTTAAAATTATGATAGTTATCAGACTGACCTGCTGGTAGATCTTATTCAAAAAGCACCTATAGTAATACATCACAACTTTTTTTCCCCCTATTTGGGTAATGATTATTGTTTTCCTCTATAATCTAATAAATTTTACATTTGTACATTTTTAAAAGAAGTCTTCATAGGCTTCATCAGACTGCCGAAGGTGTACATGGCACAAGAAAGGTTAAAAGTCCCAGCACAGACGTCTGTGTAAGGTCAAGTGGGGGCACTGACAAAAGAGGGCACAATAGGGAGGTGTACAAAGTGATTTTTAAGAAGGGAAGAGAAGCTAAGTCGTCCTCAGTTTTTAAAACAAACTTAAAAAACAGTCAACTTGAGGTACTAAGGAAAACTTTATTCTGATTGCAAAAGCACATCGAAATTGAAGTTTAAAAAACTGGGTCAGGGAGAGGGCAATAGCTCAATGGTAGAGTGCATGCTTAGCATGCACGAGGTCCTGGGTTCAATCCCCAGTATCTCCATTTTTTAAAAGAAAATCGTTTTAAAAAATAAATTGAAAAATTAAAAACTGGGCCCACGTCACAACTCTGCCACTAAATGAGCAAGTCACTTAACC